AAGGATTTCAAAAAAAAAAAAAAAAAAAACAAGCAGCCATAAATAAAAAAAAATTAATGCAATGATTAACAGTCGACTACATGATGCTTTGTCTTACGGATTAAGAATATGCTAATAAAAAGGTTGCATAGAAGAGAACTAAGCGAGAGATTTGGGCATTGATGATAAATTGCTGCTTGACTGGATAAAATTGCGATCAACATGAACTGCGGAGTATATCAGAGTATTCAATGCAAGGTGCTATATATGGAAGCATATGGAAGCTACTGTTTAAATCCTTAAAATATAAGCATGATCCCATGGGATATTGAAAGCAACAAACTCAGCCTAATATTATAGAGTTTACTGTTTAATATTCAAGGATAACCCTATGCGGCTGCCCACATTTGACGGACTCATGTTTTTCTTAATCAAAGAAAACACAATTTTTACCATACAAAATTGTGATTTTTTCTTTGACAAAAAAAAAAAAAAAAAAAAAAAAAAATTATCAGATAATAATCATTTTATTCCGTCAAAAATTGTGATTTTTTCTTTGACAAAAAAAAAAAAAAAAAAAAAAAAAACATCATCAGATAATAATCATTTTATTCCGTCAAAGTAGATTTGTTGGTATCACTTTTTGAATATGAAATCAAAATGAATTGTGCTCCCAGATGGGTCTCTCGAATATGGACAGCCCTGTTGAATTAGAAAATTCTTTAGTTGTTTTTGTTTAGCGTGTTTGCATATTTAGTCGACTGGTAGAGCTCTTCAACAGCTCCTTAAAGAGCGATTATTAAATACATAAATTACGCTGTGATAAGCAGCAGCAGCCGCAGCATAACAACAGATTTAAACTTGTGCTGGTCCACAATTATTAATTACAATAAGTAAAAGCTGTACACATATGCACGCAATGCCGCAGTTTATTCATTGGCTTGCACTCGACCTGATTAAAGCAATGCAGGCAGCCATTGAGTGCAGATGATAAGTTCCATGTTGGCATGGAATCTGAGTGCTTGTATGAGTGAATCGGTGCTTATAACAGCTGGATATTTCAATGAATTTTAAAACTGCAAACTACTCCATAATATGCCACTCTATAATATGTCATTCATATGGCGGAAGATGTCTGGAGAATAAAATGACTTACTGCTCGGAATGCCAAGCAGATCTAAATGCTCTGCCCTTTTTATGCGGCTGAAATGGCTACACGATTAAGGGCCATGATATTGTTTTATATAAAAATATATGTATATACATACTTATATAGGAAATATATATACATATATACAAAAATATTCACAGCATGCACAGCATGGCGTATACGTAACGTCCCTGGCAACTGTGTATTTGGTGGCGTGCGTGTTCGTTCGCCTTGTAAGGGTGCACACTCGAGTTATTAGCATATTGCCAACATGCTGAGCTACTTAATGATGCAGAAATGTATCAAAGTCATGAATGGAGCTTAGATTCGAAATCCGTGCCAGCTTTAGCCATTGATTATGCATATGTCGCGCATCTGACACAGGATTTTGCCAATTGCTTGCGTGGAACGAATATGCTGAGCGCTTCTCATGACGCGGCGCTTTGGCTGTGAGTGTGAGTGAGTGCTGTGTTATGGCTGGCCGTCGTAATATTTTGCTATATATTCATGCCAAAAACGTGCAGCGTAATACAAAGTAAACTATTTTCGCAGCCTGATCGGAATTCAATGGAAGTAGAGCACGCAAATTGCTCGAAGCTTTAACCAGGCGCCACGCCTTATCAGCTGTGCTGCCAATTAAAATCTGGCTCAGTCATAGACCGAATTTAATTAATCCCCCAATCAAATTCAGTTCTTTATTCCCGTTTTCATTCGCCCTTCTTTTCTTTTGTGTTTTACTTTTTGCTTCGTTCACTTTTGTTTGCAAATCACAAAGGATTAATTTAATTCAATCAAATACTCGGCTAATCAGGAGAAAAGATTCGCTTCAATTTGATATTTTACTTTCTTATTCTGTTTGCCGTTTACGAACAGAAAAAAAACTAGAGCGGATTTCAAATGAAATTCGCGAGATTTTATTTAGAAACTTTTGACAGAGCTCAGGAGTGAAATATTGAATTTTCAAGTGCGAGCGAAAAACAGAAACTCATTATAGTCGTAATTCAACAAATGAGTACAAAGCGCCCCGCATTAAAACTGACACTCGAAATTACTGAGCTAAAAGGATTAAACCATACAGAGCAGAGCAGCTGTAAATCCTCGAGCCGTGTAATATGCGTGCGTGTGTGCATACGCTCAGCCAGGTGCAAATGCCCGACCCGGAGACTCGGCCACCCGGCGATACTTAGAAAAGGGTTGTACCTAGAAAATAAGTGGCAACCGCTTAACGAGCTGCCGGGATTCTTGTGGCTTTAGCGAAAATGTGCGCTATGCCAGGGCCCAGCACAGCACGCCGCACACACAGCATTTATGGCAGGGAGGTGGGCGGGTGCGCAACGCTGATTTATGCAAACAGCCAACGAGATGGGAGTAAATTAACGCCTCTGCAGCCCAGCAAAGGCTGCTAATGGAAGTGCCAACGACTGGAATGCCACATCACACACATCTGCTGAGGAGTGGAATCTGTAGCAGATTTTTTTTTAGGCCCTAGGCTGGAGCGTGTTAAAAGCAAAACAAAATTTCGAAAACCAACAAAATTTATGTAAGACTACATACAGAGTCTTGAAGTTTATGCAATAATCAAAGTAAACTATTGCTTCTAAAAGCTTTTTCCTCTTACCCTGCTCACTTTCATTCTTATTGCATTTTGCACAAAACCAAATATAATTCAAGGCTGAGTGCTCAATCAAATCGTGCTTTGCGCCATCTAAATCTAATAATCCAATTTGAAATTGTCAATATAGGCAGAACTCTTATCGAGCTCCTATTATCAGGGCTTACGCTACAGCCTGGGCATATTTATTGGGAAAGTTTGACGCACTCTGTTTGCCTGTGGCCAGCCGCCACGTCTTCCAGAGTATTGATATTTATTGATATACATATAATCCCTGGATTATTAATCAATTTGGTAAACAAACTGGCGCAAGTCTGTCTATACGTATATATTCATTACACTTTCTGATTGTTCGCAGGCATCTTAGCTTTCAGCTGTCGTCGCTGTCGCTGGCGCTGAAATTAATGTCGGCGGCAACAGTTGCTTTTGTCATGCTTTGTCATCATTATGGCGCACAGACTTTGATGTCCAGACCCAGACACAGAGCTGCTGGGAGTGGCACAAAAGAGTTTTGTGTTTCGGATAGTCGGCCCAGGGCTGAGTGACAACGCCCGGCGCCAAGCAAAAGACAAAAGAAATGCCAGAAAGTTGTGAGGGCGCTTCCACTTAAAATGCCAATTGTAATTGCAATTATATGACTCAAGGTGGCTCATATAACGCTTGAATGCATTGCGACTTCAACTCAGCGCAAGTGAATGCATCTGGCAGCGGCCTCAACTGAACGCTTGAACAGTTCACTGGATAAACAAGTGCAGAGTGCAAAGCACTCAAACGACGCAGCAAATGTCCTTGGCTCTGGCATCACAACAAAAGCAGCTGGAATATGTGATTAGCTAAAGTGGAGTAGAGGAAAACGCTCGGAACTTTGGCTTGACAAACGAAATTAAATAGAGCTCAAGATTAGCTTTAAGTAAATAGTTTTCGATTCTTTACTCTCCTGCATGCATAACTCATACGCAGCGTATGCCAGCGGCACTTGAGGCTAATCTGGCCCAAAGCCGCATAAAACATTTGTCTAAGCCATGCGATTATACTTATCTATATAGGCCACAGCAGTGGCTGCTCTTGCCACTTCCCGCTGGCATTTTTATTTGCTGCTGGCATTTTTATTTTCCAAGTCAAAGGATTCACAACTAGATTTCATTTCGCGAGCTCGCGCTCAGCATGATGCAAACATTTCCACACATTGTCGCTGTCATGTGGCTTCTGATGGCAAGCCGTGATGCAGCGTATAAACAGTGAGTCGCCAAAAGAAAATATATATATTTATGTATAGATAAATATATACATACATATATATTTTATGATATCTATGTGAATGACATCTAACAGTTGATGATCTTTGGGAGACGTACAGTATAATAAACAACAGTAGTGGCTATACTCGATGTTTTCTTCCATACTATCAACCTACCGATACTATCGCATTCGAATATTTATTTGATTTATATATATGTTATCATCTATTTTTTTGAGGAATTGGCCGAAGTAAAGTTTATATTAAAGTAAAACGTGCATATTTATGTGTGAAAATGTTCTTAAATTTTGGTTAGCACATGTAGATGTTTTATATGTTTACTATAGTATGTTATTTGTATAGTATATGCAGTAGAATCCAATTATAACGACGGTCTCTTGACCTCCACACCATATAAGTTTACCTGGGGACCCTTATAAGGGTAGTCATTAAACCGGATTCTACTGTACAAAGTCGATTTGAAAAACTTACAGAACGGTCGATTGCAACAATACAAACGTATTATAATTACTACTATACTACTTATAAGTCGGTAATTATCGTGATTTCCACTCAACCAGATTCTACTATAGTTATTTCATATATGGAAATCATTTCATTACTCAGAATAGGATTAGTTTTTATATCGTGCGAGCTCTTTAGTTTTTCGTAATTTTCTTGAAATCTTGTTATATCTTTCTGAAGCTGTCATTGCCCTTTTAACACAGCTGCCAAGGCCACAGAGAACTGCAATAGTTTGCTGAGTGAAGTTAGTCAGGCGAAGCTTGGTTAGCTCCTTGAGTCGGTTTGATATATTTCTGCAATCTGGTTGAATTTGCTGAAGACGTATCTAGACATATTATTTAATTAAAGCTCAACCCATAAATAATACTTTATTTAAAATCTCTTTACAATATGGTTGAATTTGCTAAAGACGTACCTAGACATATTATTTAATTAAAGCTCAACCCATAAATAATACTTTATTTAAAATCTCTTTACAAATTTTAGCTGTTATCAAGTGTTAACACTGTCATTCTTATCGGAGCTCATAATCATTCCGAGCTCATAATCATCTTAGTCTGGCGCTCAGCAACGCATTTAGGGATTTGCTCACCTTGAGCACATATTTGTGCAGCTCTCGGACCGCATCAAAGCAGCCGCAGCTGAACTATTACTTTCATAGCCCCAGCCGGCTCCAGCTGCTGCTGCTGTCGTTGTAGATGGTCCTGCCGATGTCCTTGACAGGTTGAATGATGGCCCGCAGCAGCAGCAGCAGCAGCAGCATCGGCTGCTTGTCTTCAGCTCCGTTTGGCTTTCTTTCTTTGCTTCTTTCATATTTACTCAGTGGCCGAGTGTCTGTGGCGAAGGGTAGCTAAATAAATGTGGCCACAACTGAAATGCAATAAGGGCATAGATATAGACTCCGGCTTGTTGTTGTTGCTGTTGTCGTTGTTACTTATTCGTTTACAGGTTGTGACCACAGTCATCAGTGCGGACCTGGCTTTAAGTTTATTTTCAGGCAAAGGCCAGGCAAGGCAGAAATGAAGAAAAACATATTCATTTGACGCACGCTTGCAACTACTGTTGGCCCATTGTTGAGCTCTGGTAGCTGAGGCGCAAATGAATTGCTGTAAACACTCGAGGCGCCACTCTGTTGCCGTTGCAAGTGCTTTCTGTTGATTTCTACTGTTTAGAACTGCTTCCTGCTATTTAGCCGGCAGCGCTTAGACAATGGTTAAGCGTTCCCTCTGCACCCACTGGGCCGCTGAGCAAGGGGCCCGGGCACAAGGGGTTGCCCTTTAGTGTTTCATTCTTCATTGGAATATTCCTACTTTTTTCTTGTTTTATTTTTTATTTTTTTATTTTTTTTTTAGCTCTTTTTTTCTGCTATTTCATAAAAGTTGTCAGGCGCTTGCTGCTGATGCAGTTTTTAATTCATCTCTTGGGGAATTGAATGCACGCATTGTTCGAATGCGAAAAAGAGTACGAACAGGATGCAGTAGCAGGATATTGCGACATTTGGGTAAATACTCAGCAGCAGCACACGTCAACGACTCGCACGTTGCCATGTGGCATAATTGTGGCTCCTGTTGCGATTTGCAGCGAAATGCTTGCTGCTTGTCTGCCTCGTATTTAACATATTTGGCTCCCAGCACATGAGCCTCGGGCTAATGACTCTCCCCAGTGAAAGGTTGAATCAAACTGAAAAGAAAAGACTTTTGTATTGCATAGCTCTAGCATTTAATGAACAGACTTACGCTTCAATAACTCTTTAAGCGGTTCATATTATCTTGTAATTTATTTTAATATTGTGTTCTGCTACCAAAGTAATTTCATTAAAGCTCGACTCTTGGCACAGTCCTGCTGCTGTCGCCAACAAGTAGACGACGCCAACAAGTGGCAGAGGACGTCCGAATTGCTTTTAATTATGCGGCATCCGCGGGGCATCTTCCAGCGCTTGGCAAGCCGTCCTGCTGGTCAGAGCCGGAAGGGCAGTTAGTTAGCCCCCCCGTGGAACTCAGCTGAGCGGAAATGAATTGTTTGAGTTAAATTCACTCTGGGGTGTTGAGAAAAATATTTAATTTCTTCTATGCATTTATCTCGGTTAGCTTTTTACATTAAAATGAAACAATTTAAGTACAGAATATTTATAAAAAAAAAAATAAAAAAAACAAATAAAATAAAAAAAAACAACAAAAAATGAAGTATAAAATGTTTATAATTTTAATTTTTTAATCAATTACATTTAAAAATATATATATTGGGTCTTTCTAATTTTCGATGACTTCTTCTTAGTTCTGAAGGACAACTACTGATAAATATATATGTACTTAGAATAAGACGAAAGTCCCAATAGAACTTTAAGTTTTTTTTTTTTTTTTATTATAACTCTAATGCCCTAAAAAATACTTAGAAATACATCTAAAATCTACTTTTGCAAACAGCTGCTGACAAGAAGATTATTTACATTGAAAGAAAACTAGAAACCCATAAGACCCTATTTCCTCTCACTGCAAGTCCTCACGAGCTGCGACTTAGCATCGTCGATAGCTTGCCAGTTTTATATTCGGCATTTACTTTTGGCCAACAATGTGCACATGCTGGCAAAATGCAGCTGTCACCGTGTAAAACATTTTACTTGTGCTGCCAAAAGATCTCAGTAGGAACGAGGGAGGCTTTAGAGAATTTACAGCCCGAACAAAAAAACTGAGACTGAAAATTTAATGTTTTGGTTCAGTCTATTTGTTGGCGGTTCACGAAACAGACGTAAATGTTACGAAAAATATATGTGCATGTGTGGGAATAAATCTACCAAGGAAATAGCAGACAGGCAAACCAATATATGTACAAAGAGGAAAATCTATAAAATAAATAGTATTATGAAATGTATACAAATTAAAGATTAAAAACATATATGTATATGTATGTATGTACATATATGAAAATATTTAAATGTATAAAAATTATTGCTGATTTACTACTCATTTCACTATATATATATTATTTGATATTATTAGACTTATAAGCTCAATTTGAATATAAATAATTGGTTTTTGCAAACTTAATTCTATGTACGTACTACAAAAGTTTGTAAAAGCCATCAGAATGTACTCAAGCTCTTCTGCTTTACAACTTGTCTGCAGCAAACGTGTTTGTTGATTCTAATGGCAAACTCTTTGTGTGCTTAAACAGTTTTATATGCCTGTGTATACAACATTCGCACCTGTTGCACTCTGGGAGCGAACATGTTGGCGTCTAACTGAAATCGAATTGCAAGTTGATAGGAAAACAAATGTATAAAGGAAATAATATGTACTTACGCTTTAAAATCTATTAAAATTGATCATTTGTATTTACTGAAATATTATCAATATTCATATTTAAATTGTGGACATAAATCGTATATGACATTAGCTGTCATAAAACAATCAGTATACATAGTCAATATAAATTTTATTACATTACATTACATACAGGTATATCAGTATTTATGATGAGAAGTTATGAATGGAGCCCAAATCTTGCAATGTTGATGACCATGTTTTGATAGGTCATTGATGAGATCACTTTCACTCCAGCTAATGACTCCGTTTGATAATAAAAAGACAATTATCTTAACTGCTACTATCCGAATCGTCAGTCTCTCCTATTATTTTGCCCCGACAGCCATGTGAGATGGAATTTATACACATTTTCTTTTTGTGATGTAAGCACGAAATATCGATATATCGAATCGATTACTGAGAAGGTACCAAGCCATTTGTGCAAATATCGCTTATTAATGTATCAAAATACCTGATTATGCGTTGGAGTATATTTTTCGCTTAAAATATTTATTTATATGTGGTTTTAGATTAATATGTAGATCATATAATATTTATGTATAAATATATAATATATTGAACATTCACTTTATTCAGTTTTCGAATGTATAATTTGTAATAAATGTAAATGTCTTGATTCAACTAATTAATTAAATTAATTTTTAAGAAGGCATTATTTAATATTATTAATAATAAAGTCATTAAAATGTATAGTTAGTGCTTTTTATTTCTCGTGCTGCCCAACACTGGAACTAGTTCTTTTAAGCTTTTTATCGACCAATCGATAACTAGCTTTCGCCAGTTCACTAATCAATTTAAACCTAACCTAATTTCTTATTGTCAGCAGTTTCACGAATCACACTCAATCGGCGAATATGTGCTCAAGGAAAGTGCGCGAGTGGCTCGTCCAGCTCACTATGGAAAAGTATGTACACTGCTTTATCGAACGTGGGTACACAACCATTGCCCAGTGCAAGCAGATTCTGAGCAGCGACCTCGTGCTGTTGGGCATTGACGACCCGAACCATCGCCAGCTACTCATAACAGGCGTGCAGCTGCTCATCAATTCGCCGGAGCTCTTCGATTGCGACGAGCCCTGCGAGCTGCACGTTGCTAAAAACGGCCGCGAGTTGGTCGACGATTTTATGAGCTGCTGTTTAATGGAGTTTGCCACCTATGGATAGATTCCTTTGTTCGTCTATAGGCGAACCGAATCATGATGGCGATTTGATGTCGCTATCGGTTGACTCTCTGGATCAGTTTACTCTTAATATATCGGCTAATTTCACGTGCGTCGCCTGTCCAGATCTGAAATTCGGCGAGCTCTACGAACTGGATCAGCATATAGCTGAACGAAGAGAGAGTAATGATCCCTTGGCCTTGGAGCATAGGTATGGCGCTATCTTTAGCAATGACAATTCAATGACAGTTGAAGCGGCTAAACCTCTATTATTGATGGACTAACTTGAAAGGCCAATAAACAAGAGAACCAAGAATAAACACAAGAGACTTGGTAAATTATGATTTTTAAAATGTCATTATTGGACTCGGTAGGGTATTCAACTGGCATGCGGGGGCGTGCTGATCCATCTGAGGCGCAGCACTGGAGCCGAAGATGTGGTCGGTACGATGCAGTCAAGATGTCTACCTTATGCGTCTTGATCACGCACTGACACTCGATGCAGTGCGTCTCCCGATTGAATTCGCAATGCTGGTCAACCTTTTGCCCCAGCAGTTGTGTATATAGCCTGCCAACACATCCTCCAATATATTGTAAATAATGTAGCTATCCGAACTTCCAAGCTATCAGCTTACGGGCTATTAAAGTGAGAACAGCGCTGTTGAACTTGCACTTTATTCGGCTTAACGTAAACAAGCTGGACGTAGAGCTCATAAGAGTTCATAATGCAGCGAATCGGACAGAAAGTGCCTGTTCACATTTAGATTAAAGAGTTTATTGTATGTCATTAAAATGAGAACTGAGCCTCATATAGCTCAGACATGCGGGGGTGAGTTCAATAAACAGCTATTTAAGGACATTTGAATGAGAACTACTCATTTGCAAGTTTGTAACGTATATACATACATACGTCTGTGTGGAGCGATGAACCAGGTCGCCAGAACAGAGCAGCGCGGCGAAGGCCCAAACAGTGACAATGGTGACCCTTTTGGAGTAGAGGTGGACACGGACCGTCTCCTTTGCACCCGGCCCGATCCGCCCACGGTCAAAAGTTCAAAATCTTATCCGTACCCGAAAGCAAAACAAATTTTCATACCCGCACCCAACCCGACCGCCCGAAACACAAAAAATTTAATTCTCAAAAATTACAACAAATTTTTTGTTCTCAAACAATTTAATTCTTAAAAATTACAATATTATTTACAGAAATATTACATGTTTTTATATAAAAAAAAGGAGCATATCATTATTTGATTTTTGTCCACCCGCCCGCAACCAACACGAAACTCGATTTTTCAGCCCATACCCACGGGTAACCGCGGGTGCCCACGGGTACCCGATAAAAACCCGGTCCGTGCTCACCTCTACTTTGGAGCACGCTGCATGCACGCTAGATAAACTTTAACTAGTACCAGATCACATCCCGCCTGCAAAATATTCACTCTTCATTTAAAGGTTTTTTAGTCCGATTTGCATGAAAAGACCTTCAAGATTCCAGTGCTTTCTTCAGTTGTCGCCGGTCATTGCATTTTATGTCCATGATATGCAGCTCTATGTACATGTATGTATGTATATACATATGTTCAACTGTACGATTTAGAACAAATATTTACATCGTCTAGTTCATTTTGTGCGTTTAGATTGAATTATCGTTACTGAAGTTCATAGTGGTTCATACTTATGGATCAAACTGCTGATTGGAAGCACGGCCGCAATTTCATGATGATTTGGTAATTAATATTTGCGAATTAGAAAATATCATCAATATTTCAGCAGAAATTAATATAATCATACATTTTATTTATTTATAATGCCCCAATTTACTATGAATACATAGCAAACAGTCTGCTCTTTAATAAAATTACTAACTTTTAATATCTGCTGAAAATTACTAATTCTGAAAGAACACACAAAACACATACGTCTTCAAGAATTATATCTTAACTAACTGATTAACTTTTTGGTAAGCCGGCCAGCGTTATATTCGGCATTTCGTTGTCAGTTAATTTCTTGGCTGTTAACAAAACAGATGTAAGCGTTAATAAATATATTTGATTGGTGAGTAAATCTCCTCAAAGAGAGTGCTGCAAAAAAGGTAAACCAGTAGAACAAATTTGTAAAAAAAAAAAAGATATTCTGATTTTATGAAAATATTTTATGAAACTTAATTTATTTATAAATACATTTAAAAGTAGTAAAGCGATTACAGAATTTGACCCAAATGAATATTTAATGTTTATGGATTACAAATTTCAGTCAAAAATAAGAAAAGCTTTTTATTTTAGGTTTATAGCAAAAATAAATAAAATATTTATAGATTCCAAATTTAATCAAAAATAATAGGTCTGGTTTTTAATTATTTATTTATTTATAATAAATTTTTTGACATACAACTATATTTATAAATCTAATCAATTTGTTAGGAGCGGGTATTAAAGCTTTCCTGTATTACAACTTGTTTGCAGCAAACATGTTTGTTGATTCTAATGTCAAACTCTTTGGATATTTGAGCATTTGAACATTTTCGTTTGACTGTGTATACAACATACGCACCTGTTGCGCTCTCATTGCCAACATGTTGGCGCCTAGCTGAAATCGAATTGGAAGTTGATAGGAAAACAAATGTATGTAAATAAATAAAGATCATACTTTATGGCTTGTTCAACTAAAAACTTAAATTTAGTATTTATCTGCTCAATCGTAAATAATATCATCTATATTTGAATATTCTTTCAGATTAATACATTACATATTACTGTCACTCAATTGGCGATAATCGACCATACTTAAAATGCACTTAAATTGTATTTTCAGTGTAAATAAATCGTGTGTGACACGAGCTGTCATAACCCAATAAGGATTCATTAACTTTGCCAAAAGAGGGAGTTTTTCAGATAGCTGCAAATTACATATAGCCCGATTATCTGGTGAAAATTTATTAATGGAGCTGAGAGTACGTGCTTGTGGCGACGACGATTGGGGATTGAGACACGGCAATTTATGGGCAGCAAACCCACTTTCAATAACGAAATGTTGTTGCTCAACAGTGGAACAATTAGTGTCTGACACTGTCAGCTTTTTAATTGAAATTTATGTCGGGGATTACAGCCTGAGATTAAATACGTATGTGCATGCGATGACACCTGACAAGCCCCTCTCACTCTCTCTCTCTCTCTCTCTCTCTATCAGCCTCTCACTCTCGCGGCTACTAGCTTTTGCTCTTACGTAATTTCACTGTTTGCTTAAGGAAATGACAGAGTTGAGTTGTAGCACTTGCATAAGTACGTTTGATTGTAATCATAGTGTAAATTCAAACTATAAGCCTTTAAGCTGGCAAGCAACTCACATAAATGCAGTTAAAAAAAAAAAAAAATTAAATCTTGTATTGGGTTGAACTAATTGAGAGAAAACTTTTTTCGTTTGTATTTATATCTGAGCATCTTTATCTATGTATCTGTATCTATGTATCTATATATCTATGTATCTGTATCTATGTATCTGTATCTGTATCTGTATCTGTGTATCTGTGTATCTGTGTGTCTGTGTATCTGTATCTGTGTATCTGTGTATCTGTATCTGTATCTGTATCTGTATCTGTATCTGTATCTGTATCTGTATCTGTATCTGTATCTGTATCAGTATCTGTATCTGTATCTATATCTGTATCTGTATTTGTATCTGCGTATCTCTATATATTTATCTGTGTATGTATCTGTATCTGAATATGTATCTGTATACAAATATATATATAATATTTCAAGCAAATATTCGTTAGCTGAAATTACATCCCTTTATAATTTTAATAAATTAATCCTTAGTTAATATATAAAATTAAAATTTGTTTCACAATCGAGTGCACCGCGTGTTGTTCTTAGCACATCATTATTAAATTGAAGAAAAAGAGAAAGAATATAGTAAAATAAAACAATTATCTGAAAATACCGCCCGAAGCGGACGACCTACAAGCCAACTGCATAAAAAGTTTTTGGCACTTTTAATGAGTGTTGCTTTGCCCACTGGCAATGGCAATTTAAGAGGTGGCAAAAAGTTTCGCCACAAGGCCGGAGGCAACATCAGCTGCTCGTCCGCAAAACATGCGCTTAATTGGGGGCATTGGGGGCGAGTGTTGAAGGAAATGAATTTTATATGACAATGAGTGCTAATGGCTGCTGTTTGCACTCGCACGCAAAGTGCCTTAGAATTCAGACTCTACCTTATCTACAAGGAAATCTTGAGCTCTCGCATGTCTGG